GCTGTTTTTGGCTGGGGCTGGGTTTGAACCTGCCACTTCCAGCATATGGGGCCAGTGCCCTACTCCTTTGAGCCACAGGAATATATTTTCCTGCCCCACGGAATATATTTTCTAGGAAACTCCCTGAGAAAGGGTATATGGGAATATTTTTTGAGACCATATATAACTGGAAGTAATGCCTTTATTATTGATTGGTAATTTGGGTGGTTGTAAAACTTAAGGTTGAAAGATTTTTCTTTAAATTTCAAAGGTATTCTGCCAGTGGCTCCTACCTTCCAACAGTGCTTTTTGTAACAAGCTTGCCATTGTGATGCTTTATCCTTCATGTGTTAATTTTTTTTTTTTTAACTTGGGCTATGTTCAGTTCATCATCAAGTTTTATCTGTCCCTATTTTCTAAATATCTCTCAGTTCCACATACTTCTTATTACTTTTGCCACCGCCCCAGTCACCTTGCTTTCTAACTATCATTCCCTTTCTACTCTTGGCTGTTCCCAATCTACTAATACTCCAAAACCAAAACTATCTCCTAAAATTGCTCGTCTTCAGATCATCACCATTCCTTCTTTGTGCCCTCCTGCCACTATCAGACACTCTTCAGTGGCTTTCCATTATTCCTAAGGTAGAGTTTATAAAGTCTGTTATTTCCTATATCTGGTCTTATTTGCCTCTCTAGCCTGGCCTCACCTCTTCCCCTTATTCCTTGATTCCAGTCGCTCTGGTTATCTTTTATCTCTTTTATGTATTCTTTGCTGCTCCTCTCTCTCTGTCTAGAATTGTTTCTTTCTCTTAATTGCATCTGTGGCGTCACCTACGCTTTCAGTGGTTTATCAGCTTAATTTTAATTTCCCTGGGAAGCTCTCGGTAATCTCCAAAAAAAGATAAGGTTTTCCTTTTATAATACATGAACGTATATTGTCTTGGTTTCTTTCATAGTACTGTTCCACGTGTTCAGTCAATACAATTTTTTTGAATATTTAATATATGTCAAACTCTGTGCTGGGGATATAGGAAGGAATAAGACAGACAAAAAGCTCACTCTGTTGGAGTTTATATACCATTAGTATTTTAGAATTTGGTAAGTGCAAAAAACAAAGCAAGGAAGGATATAAAAAACTTTAAGTTTTTGATAGGATGGCAGCAATCATCATTATTATTTTTTGAGACAGAGTCTCCAGCTGTCACCTTGGATAGAGTGCTCTGGTGTCATAGCTCACAGCAACCTCAAACTCTTGGGCTTAAGCGATTACCTCAGCCTCCCAAGTAGCTTTGACTACAGGCACTACCATGATTCCCGGCTGTTTTTTTGTTGCAGTTGTTATTGTTGCTTTAGCAGGCTTGGGCCAGGCTTGAACCTGCCAGCCCTGGTGTATGTAGCTGGCACCCTAACCACTGAGCTACAGGCATCGCCCGCAACAGTCAGTATTAATTGTGCTGTTAAGTTATTTCTTACTATTCTAGTTAATTTCCAATTGTGTGTTTGTATCAGTGTGCTAGGGTTACCATAACACAGTTCTGCAGACTGAATGACTAAACTGAAAAAAATTTATTATCTCACTGTTCTACAGGATAGAGGTCCAAAATTAAGGAGGCTGCAGGCTTTGGTCCATGTGTGGGCTGTGAGGGAAGGATCTGTCCCTGGCCGTTCTCCTTGGCTTGTGGTTGGACATGTCACTATATCTCTTCACATTGTCTTCTAGTTCTGCGTGTCTCTGTGTACACATTTCCACACTGTGATGTGGGCTCACTCTAATGACCTTATTTTAACCCGATTACCTTTGACTATTGCCAAAGAAGGTGACATTCTTGGTATTGGAGCCTAAGACTTCAACATGTGAATTTGGGGGAGACAAAGAAGATACCTATAGCAGTATTAATTATATTTTCTTCCTCTATGAAACTAAAAGCTTGACAGTGAAGGAGATGATTCTGTCTCGTTCACTGCTTGATGAAGCAGTGTCTGTGTGCAAGTGGAGTCTTGCTCATAGTTGGGACTCCATAGAGTTTTGACAAAGTAAATAAATAGATGAGGATGGGAGTGTCACCATAATTTTTTTTTCCTAATTTTTATTATTTTTTAAGAGACAGGCTCTTGCTGTGTTGCTCAGGCTAGATTTAAATCCTGCACCCAAGTGATCCTTCCTCTTTAACCTCCTAGTACCTGGGCTTATGAGCACATACCACCACGCCTGGCCCACCATAATTTTTATCAGAGTTTCTCGAGCTCATAAAAAGTAGAGTAAGAAAATCCAAACATTTGCCCGCATTTCTCACTATTCCAATTTATTTTCCTTGTGGGAAGAAATAAAGAAGTTTAGATGTATTCCCCAAGTTAAGGCAGTAGCCACGCTTGCACTGCCTCAATGCTCTGACTTGTGCAGACTTTTTTCCTACTCATTTCTGTTTTGTCACCTTTTAAAAGAAAAGATAGAAAGGCAGGAAATCATAATTGTTGAATATGTTAATATATTCTGTACTAGGAGAATATTATTGTAATACAATTTTAATGATCTTCTTAGCAACTCTCTGAAAGCAGCTGAGACTCGGAAACATTAAGTGAATTGCCCATACAGCTAGTAGAGGCAGAGCTAGAAATTAGACCCAGGTTTACCAGATACCCAAGTCCAAAAAGCCTTTTGCAACAT